AAGAAACATGCATCCTCCAGAAACTACCACAAAGATGGCTTCAGTTCGATTCATGGTGACACCAACAAAGATTGATGACATTCCAGGTTTGTCAGACACTAGCCCAGACCTAAGCTCTCGATCTAGTTCCCGAGTACGATTTAGCTCCAGGGAAAGTGTGCCAGAAACAAGCCGTAGCGAGCCTATGAGTGAGATGTCTGGGGCCACCACTTCTCTAGCGACTGTTGCCCTGGATCCTGCCAGTGATCGGACTTCCAACCCCCAGGATGTCACCGAGGGTAAGTGGGAACCGGCCAGTAGGATACTTTATTACTAGGTTATTTATCGAGCATGACCATCTACTAGAAGGGCACTTTCCATTCTACAAGAATCATGGAGAAGCAAAGGCCCTCTTTTAGTGGATGGTTAGGACTCTGGAACAATGGTTAGTACAGTCAGTCACCACTGTAGTCATTTTTATTTCTCTTCTTTTGGGTATTTTTGAAACAGAATCTTGCTATGTTCAGACTGGTCTTTAACTCACTATGTAACCTAGGCTGGCCTCAAACTTGGAGGGATCGTCCTGCCTCAGCCTCCTGACTGCTGGAGTTACAGGTGTGCACTACCATACCCAGCCAAAGTAGTAATTTTGGGTGTAAGAAGGTGTATGGCAAGAAAGAAAGTCAATGTTTTGACGTCCTTATTTTTGCCTCCATAAAATAAGGAAGTGGATATTTTTGTTAAATGTAAATAACATAACATGTAATCGTTTTTCAGCATAGAGAATCCTAAACCAGAAAATTTACTGGGTAATATATGTGCTTTCTAGCCTTAAAAACAGTATAAAGCCAGTCACAAGGAGTAGTTATTGATCATATCCTAGTGGCTTTCCCCCGAAGACTTGGATATACATTACAGAAATACTTTTTGCAATTCATATTTTTGTAGACAGTGGTTCAAGTAGCTGAGGTTACTCAGGGTGATGGTGGGTAGCTATAATGTGCTATTCTGTCAAATTGAAGAGTTCTGAAGAAGCTTTTAGGACTTGATCACACATAACTATCACGTTGAGTTTTAGATGAAATGTCTTGAGTGCTATATTGAGTCTGTAGTCAGGGCCGCTTCTGGTTCATATTGAGCACTGCAGACCTTTAGCTTCCTAAACCAGTTTTGTTTTTTTGTTTTTTTCCTAAACCAGTTTTGTCACCTAGTTTGGAAGTTTTTATTTGATTTAGTGGGAGGAGCTGATAGAAAAAGAGATGAGATAAAAGGGAAGTCATAACATTTTTCAGACTCCAAAATCAAGAAGTTTGAGAACTGCTACTAATATAGTTTTGTACCATATAACCTTCGTAGTAATAAAACTTTTCTTTAGGAATGTCAAAAACTCCTTAACAATGATATTCTACCCAAGTTTGAAAACTGTAGCCTCAGCCACTGACTTGTGAAAGTGAGGGTGACTTACCAATTTCCGGTATCAGGAAATATTGTTCCTCCTAACCTACAGGGTTCAGGAAACGAGAATGATTTTAGTTCCTTAATTCTGTTTTTTGTTCTTAATGATTTGAGACAAGGTAGATTTGGTAAAGCTTATAGTTCTACAATTCAGTCATCCTTTACTAATCATTTCTTTTATCAAGATACTACAAGTTGATTCCTACAATTAATTTTTTTTTCTTTATTTATTTATTGTGTTGTTTTGAGACAGGGTCTTGTGTAGTTCAGGCTGGCCCTGAACTATGTAGCTCAGGCTGGCCGGCCTCAAACTCACAGCAACCCTCTTGTCTCAGCCTCCCGAATGCTGGGATTACAGGCATGTACCAGGCCTGGCTCTAGTATCTCAATCTACTATGTCTATACATCCAAGAGCTTATGCTCCTGGGGACTCTTAGGGGCACATGACTCACCTAGCTTCAGAAACCCACCTGCAGTTGTTTTAGGTAACTGTCTCCTCTGTGCTAGTTACCATATTTGTTGAAAATTTTTATCTGCTCTTCTTTCCTACTCTCCTTGTCCTGTGAATTTATACTTTAAAAAAACTCTTGCCAGGGATTTAGCTCAATGGCATCATGCCTGCCTCGAAAGCTCAAGGTCCTGGGTTCAATCCCCAGTACAAAAAAACCCAAAAACAAAAACAAAAACAAACAACCCTCCTTTACCGTAGTTTATTTTTATGACCAATCCACTACTGCATGGGCCAACTTCTTTTTATTAATGGAAAGTAAGAAGTCTGCTGGAGACTGCATTTGTTGCTGATCAAGTTAAAAAAATCTCCTATATACCTAGATCAGACTCTAGGGATTACTTAGTTATCAGAGGCTATGTTAGTCCGCTTTCTATCAAATTTAACAAGTACCTGAAACAATCAATTTATAAAGAGAAAAGGTTTGTTTTTTAAAAAGTACCTTTATTGAGGTATAATTTACATACTATAATTTTCACTCATTTTCAGTACACAGTTCATTTATTTTTAGTAAGTTTATGGATTGTTCTGCTGCCCAAATCTCATTTTAGAATATTTCCATCATTAAAAAGATCTATCATACTCATTTGCTCCTAACCCATTTGTTCCTACCCTAGGCTCACCTAAGCAATAATCTAATTTCTGTCTCTAGTCTTCTTTTCTGGACATTTCATGTAGATGGAACTGAATAAGATACTGCAGTTTTTGGTGTATCTTCTTTCATTTAATATCATGTTTTGAATATTCATACATGTTTGGAGCACATATTAAGTCATTCCTTATACTTTTGAAGAGTACTCTTTTGTATGGCTACAATATATAGCATTTTGTTATCTATTCACTGGTTGATGAACATTTGCATTTTCTGCTCCTTGGCTTTTATAAATAATGTTGTGAACATTTGTATACAAGTCTTTGTGTGTGTGTGTTCATTTCACTTAGATAGATAGGTACCTAGGAGTGAAATTACTGGCTACATGATAAATTTATACTTCTGAAGAAACTCAAATGTTTCTAAAGTGGCTATACCCTTTTACATGTTTCCCAGTTATGTATGAAGGTCCAGTTTCTTCATATCCTCACTAACATTTGTTATTGCTTTTTATTAAAGTCATTTAAATGGGTGAAAAGTATTATCTCATTGTGATTTTAATTCACATTACCCTAATGATTAATGATGCTGAACATCTTTTCATGTGTTTACTGGCCATTCATGTATTTTTGTGGTGAAATGTCTATTCAGATATTTTGCCCATTTTTTTAAAACTAGGTTGCTTGTCTTCTTATTGAACTGTAAGAGTTCTTTATATATCCTGGACATAAATTCTTTATCAGATATATGACTTGCAAATATTTTCTTCCAGTCTGACTTTTCATTTTCCTTACAGGGTTTTATGAAGGATATTTTAAATTTTGATGACATCCCACTTATCATATTTCTTTTTATTTGTTTGTTTTTGTCTTTTGAGACAGAGTCTGGCTATGTAGTTCATGCTGGCCTCAAACTCACTATGTAGCCCAGGCTGACCTTGAACTTCAGGCAATCCTCCTGCCTCAGCCTCCCTAGTGCTGAGATTATAGGCATGTACCAGCACACATAGCTACCATTTTTCTCTTTTATGGTTATTGCTGTACTAAAAGTCTGATAGCAGAGCCCAGTCTCTATGTTTTAAAATCACAAAATATCTGATTTTTTTAATCAAAAAAGTTTAAAACTATAGCTTTCCAGTAAGAACTGTCATTTATATACTCATTATTATGACATATACTCATTATTATGTCAGGTTCTGTGTTCATGTTAATACCTCAAATGTTTTTGTCAGCTTCTTGAGGGGGGGGCATGTTGAGGATCAAACTCAGAACCTTGCTCATGTTAGCCAAGTCCTCTACCACTTAGCTATACCTGCCAGCCATATCAGTTTATTTTAAAGCTAGCAATTGTAAGCTAGCATCTTGCAGAGTTTTTGTTTATCCTAGATGGTTTTTGCTCAGTACTGGGAACTGGATCCAGAGATTTTACACTAAGCTACATCTCTAGTGTTTTGTTTTTTATTTTGAGGGAGAGTCTCAGTCATTAAATGGCTGAGGCTGTGCTCAAACTTTTTATCCTCCTGCCTCAGCCTCCAAGAGTGCTGGGATTATAGGTGTGTTCCACTGTGCCTACCCTGTCCCACAAATTCTATAAAAATAATTTAATAGGTGTGATTTTAAATTTTTTATTTGATTTTTTTTAGACAGGGTCTCGCTAGTAGTTCAGGCTGGCCTTGAACTGACTATGTTACCCAGGCTGGTCTCAAACTCACAGGCTATCCTCCTGCCTCAGCCTCCTGAGTGCTGGGATTACAGGCATGCACCACCATGCCTGGCCTTTAATTGTTTTCTTATGGATGATTTCAAACACACAAAAGTTGACAGACTGGCTGGCTGCATTGGTGCATGCCTTTAATTCCAGCTACTTAGGAGGCTGAGACAGGAGTATTATAAATTCCAGGCCAGTCTCAGAAACTTAGCAAGAACCTATCTCAAAACAAAAAATAAAGGGCAGGGAACTGGGTATGTAGCTCAGTGGTAGACCACTAACCTAGCACGTGTGAGGCCCTGGGTTCAAGTCCCCAGTATCAAAAAAAAAAAAAAGGTTGTCAGATTAATATCATGAATCTCCAAGTAGCCAAACAATAGCCTTGATAGCCACCAACCCTGCCACATCTGCACCCTTGGGAAAAATAACTAAGTCAATACTTAATAATCAGGAGATTTAATTTGAAAGTGTAAGTTTCTAATAAGTTAATCCAGAGCCCCTAGTATAAGTTCAAAGATTGCCAAGTATAATGTCACCTTCACACCAAGAATATCAGCATGAAAATAATATTTTACTTGGGTTTACTACCAAGTGAGCAGACAAGCATGGAAGATTATGTAGATGGAATCAGGGCTATACCTGCTTCCCCACTTCCTGAGATGTTGCTCAAGTCTGGTGATGGCCCAGGTGGAAGATTCCAGTATTGGGGGCTTGGTGCCATATAACTAGAAAGTGAGGGAGGGAGTGGCTGTATCTTTCTTTTGTCAAGGTCACACGAAGCATCTGCTTATTTGTGAGGCAGTACATTGCACTGTGTCCTGTTTCTTGGTGCATCATAGGGCTGGCAGCAGGCCTCATTTTGAATGCCCACATTCAGCTACTCTTGAACAACATGAAACTGTGGCAATACTGAACTTGTATTGTCTTATGGTAGCTGAATTGTGACTGCACCCAGTAGAGGGAGATACAGTAGTTCTGTTAGCTTTCCATTGCTGTGACAAAACATTTGAGATAATCAATTTAAAAGGAGAAAAGTAGGCTGAGGATTTAGCTCAGTGGTGCCGGCACCTGCCTCGAAAGTGCAAGGTCCCAAGTTGGATCCCAGCAGCAAAAAAAAAAAAAGAGAGAGAGAGAAAGATTCATTTTGTCTCACAGTTTCAGAGGTTTCAGTCCATGGTTGCTTGGCTCCATCACTTTGTGGCAGGGGCACAACATCACAGTGGGGAGTATGTGGTGGAGCAAAGCTGCTCACAGCAACTGGGAAGCAAAAAAATAAAAAGTGCTGGAGTCCCAGTGTCCCCTTCAAGGGCATGCCTGCAATGACCTCATTTCCTTCCAAGGGGCCTCATCTCCATAAGGTTCCGCCATCTCTCAATAGTGCCACAGGCTGGTGATCAAGCTTTTAACACACGAGTATCAGAGACCTCCAAGACAGGTTTAGATCTCCTGCTCAGTGCTATGAGGTAAGGTTAAAAGAAAAACTCAAAGATAGAATTAAAGAGACAGAGAAATGGAGAGCCAGGACAGACAGTGCTGAGTAACCAGCAAAGACTCTGGCTAGTCCAAGCCACTGCTATTTACTGATGACAGCATGGTTAGATTGGGGTAAAGGGGCTAGGTAGCGGACAGGCAGTTGCTATGGACACGTTACTGATGCAGGCAAGGCTTGTAAAGGAAAAGACAAAGCATTCTTGAATTAGGAACAGAACAGACAAAGTATAGGGTTGTAGTTAGCAAATAACCTTGTCCTTCTAGTTAAGAAGGTTTTAATTGTGGGAACGGAATTTGGGTATGAGTCACTCTGACCTCCGCAGGTAGGCTTCAGCCCTTCAGCTGGCTGGCCAGATTCGCTTCTCAAAACAAGCTAATTGTGGGGTTAACTCTTTACAGCCTGCACTGCTCACAGCCTGCTTTGGGCATAATCAATAAGGCAGTTCCCCACACATGAGTCTTTCAGGGACATTCCAAGTCCAAACTGTAGCAGTAATGTAGAGACAGTGCCTGCAAAGCTCCTACCAATAAGCTGGTAAAGAACTTATTCAACAAATTAAAGTTGTTCTTTTTAATGATATTACATTTATTCAAAGGTGCAGGATTAAAAGGGGGGAAGTTGGGAACAGAGCTGAGATGTGTAGATGGGCTTGGCTTTTAAAAAGTTACTTTTGGGCCGGGGATTTAGCTCTGGTTTCGCTGCCTGCTGTGCAAGCGCAGAGACCCGAGTTAGATCCCCCGGTACCAAAAAAAAAAAAAATATATATATATATATACTTTCAAGTTGCCAGCTTTGGGCATGAACTTGAATGCACAGCACATGGTTTTGAGTGTGGGTTCTGGAGCTAACTTGTCTACATTTGAATCCTGGCCCTACTACTTGCTCTGTGATGTTTTGTGCCTATGTTCTCTCATTTATAAAATGGGGATAATAATAGCTTAACTTTGAATTAATATATAGAAAGCTGCTTAGAATAATATTAGACCCATCCTGAGCATTATATGTGTGTTTGCTTTTTATTTTTTAAATGTTTATATGAAATGAGTGCTTTACTCCTTGAGGAGATTGTTTGCTTTGATTTATGAAAATCTCTCTTTAGCTGAAAGAACACATTTGCTTTTTTAGTTTGCATTCCAGTTCTTCTTGTCAGTGCATGAGCCTCATTTCAAGTACTGCTGAATCAAATGATCATGCCACATGGAAAATGAAACCAATCATTCTGGCAACTCAAGGAACCTCTGCAGCAGGACTCCAGGAAGTCCGCCAAGAAGGAGTCCCAGTTACTCCTAGTGCTGTCTTTTTATCTATTTGCATCTCCTCCCACCACCAAGTTTCTTCCTCCCCCTCTACCCTGAGTCTTTTCTCCCTCTCGCAGCTCCTTCTTTCTCATAACTTCTCTCTCATTCCTTTGGCATGATCCATTATGACTGTAGTGACCTGGCTATCCTTCATGACTTTTCAGCCCCAGTCATCACTGCCAGTTGCCTCTGAATCTACCTCAAATTCCCAAGGGCATGAGTTTGTTGAGACAGCCTCATAAAGCAGGTGAGTCAGATGACTTGCCCCTCCCTTGCTAGTGGATGGGAAAATTGAGGTAACAGCTTCAGAATTTCATAGCCCAGGCAGTGATGGGAAACCTTTCAGAACTTTCAATGATAACAATCACCCAGCTAAGGCACCCACACCATAGGTTCACCGCCACTGGCCTTGAGTCTAGGCCCCGACCTTCCCCTTTGGTAGGGAGGTGTGATCAAAGATTATGGTGAATATTTAAACTTAAAAACGTATTATTGGAAAAGACACATTGCCATGAATTCCCCTCAAAATATTTTCCCTCTCTTTCAACACATTATCATTTTCTAAAGCAGTTCTAAGAGACCTCTTTCGTGAGTGCCTTTAGTTGCAATGTCTTGGCTGCTTCAATGTCCTGAATCAGTCAGTTCAAAGTATTTACCTTTCATGATCTTTTTTGTTTAACCAATTGTTTATTTTTATTATGTTTAAATTTATTTATTTGTTTGTTTTGAGACAGGGTCTCACTATCTCAGGATCATTTTGACTTTGGAAAATAATCAGAAGTTGCATGGTACTAGTGAATAAGGTGGATAAGCCCACACCATAACATTTTTTTTTTCTGGTACCGGGAATCGAACTCGGGTCCTTGTGCTTGCAGGGCAGGCAGCAGAACAACTGAGCTAAATCCCTTTCCCCACCATAACATTTTTTATTTTGCAGAAATTGCTGTAAACATTTTGAATCAATTTAGGATATTGAGGCAGCCACAAAAATACACTCACAAAAGACTTCCAGAACTGCCTCAGAGAGTGTCAAGAATGGGATAAGTGTGTTTGAAGCATAGGAGGGTGGGGCGGCAGTATTTTGAGGAGAATTAGGGGGACTAATGGCAAAGTATCTTTTACTGTAATAAATTTTTTAACTTAATTTAAACATTCACTATAGTTTTTAATAACATCTTGTGTGTGCTGGCACAAAGATGAAGTATCCAATGTGAACATCAAAGAGGAAAGAGGTAGGCTGCCAGTAAGATAAGCCTCAAGGAGTGTTCTTATAGGGCGTGTTATTCAGCCTTCTTCATAAAAAAAGAACTGAAGAATGAGAGAGAGAGAGAGAGAGGATTGATTTATTATGATACTGGTTGATACAATTATGGAGAGGTCTCACTATCTGTGGTTTGTAAGCTGGAGAACCAGAAGAGAGGGTAATATAAGTCTGAGTCACAAGGCTGGAGAACCAGGGGGAGCTGACGATACTACTAGCCTAAGTCTGAAGGCTGAGAACTAAGGACAGGGGCCACTGAGGACACACAGGCCACTAGGAATTGGGAGCTGTGATGTCTGAGGGCAAGAGAAGGATGTTCAGTTTAAGAACTAAGGGAATGCACACTTCTCTGCCTGTAACAAGAATCAGATAGGATGATGCCTCTGACGTCGGTGGGCTAGATCTTTACTCAGTCTATTTATTCAAATCCTAATCTTTTCTGAAACACCCTGACAGAGGTAGCCAGAAATGTTTTAACAGCTGTCTGGGAATCCCTTAGCCCAGTCAAGCTGACACATGAAAGTAACCACCACAGAAGGTATGATAGGAGCTGCCCAGACCTTCCCTGTGGGTCTGTGGGTCTAGTACATACACCTGTAAGCAATGCCACTTGATACATCCACAGTATACTACAGTATACTTTAGTCGTGCTGTTACTTTAAGCCTGTTACATTTTATTTACTTTATATCTTTACAGGATTTGCTAAATGCTAAGCTCTGTTTTAAGAGCTTTATATGTATTACTGGTAGCTCATTAAATTCTCACAACAGCTCTATGAGTTTGGTATCATTATCCATAGTTTACAGATGAAGAAACTGGAGGACAGAGAAGTTCCCTGGCTCAGGTCACACAGTGGGAAGCAGCAGAGACAGAACTGGACCCAGGCAGCCTGACTTCAGACATCACCTTGTCACAGCTGCAGGTTACCTGACCTACTGAGCTGTCTAGAAAAGCATAATCTTGATTTTCTTGCAGTCCTCTTCTGACTTCATATGGAGAAAGGCATAAAGGGGGCTTTTTGTATTTTTGTTCCCCTACTTTTCATTTAGAATAATGTTTTGTTTCTTTTTTTGAGGTGGGGCGGGCGGGGGGTGGGGATGAGAACACTATACAGTGAGAACACAGACTCTGGAGTTAGCTCTGGATTTAAATCCAGACTCAGGCGGGCATGGTGGTACATGCCTATAATCCCAGCACTGGAGAGGATGAGGCAGGAGGATGGCCATGAGTGTGAGGCTAGCCTGGGCTAAATAATGAGCTCAAGGCCAGCCTGAACTACATAGCAAAACCCTGTATCAAAAAAAAAAAAAAAACCAAATAAATAAATTAAAAAATCCAGTCTCAAACATTTATTTCTGCTTGACCTAACCTTTCTAATCATTAGTTTTCATATGTATAAAATTCAAGATTGCTAGTATTTTATGGGATACTTGTATGTAAAAACCCTAGTACAATACATATTAAGTCCTCTTTAAAGAAGTTACGATTGTTGGCAGAAGATGATAAAATTCTGACCATCAATTAGTAGATTTAAAAGGAACACAGGAGGTCTTTGGGCCATGAAGAACCCCAGCAGGTTTTACTGCTACTAGGTATCTGAGCTGGACTTGGTAAACCAAGAATTGCAAATATAAACTACTTAAGCTACTATCTCCCTTTCCAACATCAGACACTCCTAATTGATTGCAGCATTGTTTCATGTTGGACCTGGGATCCTTTTCAGAATTTCTCAAGATAGACTTTTTCAAGAATTTCCCAATCAGTGGGAACTGGCCCAGGAGATGGAATCTGTTGAACATCTCTCCTTTAAGACCAGATAGAGGGCTGGGGATTTAGCTCAGTGGTTCGGGTGCCTGCCGCGCAAGTGCAAGGTCCCAAGTTCAATCCTTGGTACCAAAAAAAAAAAAAAAAAAAAGACCAGCTATAGAGTGGCTATCTAAGCCATTCCTTCAGTAGTTTATCCAAACATGTCTTTGTTTCCTTTAAGTTTTTTCTTGGTTTTGTGACAAGTAAGGTTTGGAAGAAGTTGCCTGAGGTGACTCTGAACTTGAGCCTCTGTGAGGCTCAGCAGGAAGAAAAGTCTAAACTTGGGCCGGGGATTTAGCTCAGTGGTTCTGGAGCCTACCTTGCAAGTGCAAGGTCCCAAGTTTGATCCCCGGCACCAAAACAAAATGTCTAAACCTGTCGGTCCCTACAAGAAAGACC